TTCATACTCGGACAGGATTTGTTAATTAATGAGATCTTGATGTGTCAAAATATTATTTACTATTTCAAATTACTAATTTATATAAAAGCGTAAGAGTGAAAACCAGTTCGAGCATGATTGAACAATTTATTATATAGAAATGGGTAAAAATGTGTTCTCATGAGAATAATATTGTGATTTCAAATAATATGAACAGAAATTTTATACTAAATTAAAATGCATCAGAAATGAGATTTATCGATACTTAGAAGTAAGGAATATGGCAATTCTTCAGAGTCAAATTCAGAAAATTTCTAATATTTTACGTTATAGCAACAGAGAAAAATTTCTTTTCTGATACAGTTCGAATTAGATCTCATTTAAAATGATGAATATTAAAAAGTACTGGATACCTGACTTGGAAATATTGCAACGATAATCAAAAATAAAACTGAAGAAAATTGCTATCAAAGATGAAAGTTATTATGATGAATTAAAAAAAATAGATATTGTTTTCTGATATTCATCTGAATGCATGGAGAGAACATGAATTATTAAAAAGGTGAACATGCATCATCGTGTGATGGAAAAAGCATTCATGTATGTATCCATAATTATAACCCTTGGCATCAACATTGTATTATATTCCAGCGACGTCAGTAACAAGCAAGCGTATGTTTAGTGAAATTGATCGGGTTTTAGAAGCAGACACCTACTAAGTAAATCTTGAATCCCTTGTGTTTTTTTTGTGAAATTTGAGATGATCTCGTTTTTTTTGTTGCTGTTTATGGAAGAAATTAAATAGTATATTTTTTCATATAGAATAGAAATTTGAAAACCGCATCGTAACTGCGAGAGCATCTGCCTGATGTCATCTAACTCCAATCTGGATTTAGTTACGAAAAATCATATCTATGCATTGTAGTCATATTATTTTTATTAAAAACGATCAATCTTAGTTCTTCGTTTTGAAAACAAAACGTAATAAATGTGATTTTGGCTGTTTTCAAAATATATATTCTATCTGTTAAATATAAAGATTGTTTTTATTTGATTGTATAATTGAGAATTAGTATTTAAGCAGCATGTTCAATAGATTATCGAACTATTTTTGAGAATAAAATAATTCGAAAGATTGTTTGTATTGCTATTGTGTTATTGACTGATAATTAATGCTATACATTATTTATAGACATGATAGATAGAAATACTTTTATAATAATATTTGACGTTTTTTATGTGATATTATTAACATGGATAGAAACTGAAATATTTTTATAGAAACAAGATAGACAGCTGTGATTTTTCACTTTTGAAAAGAGGAGATAAAGGTACATCAAACTGTACATTACAGATTTTCGATCTGGTATTTTTGAAAGTTATCAGTGAACCGTTTTGAAAATTAATGTACCCTGTTAGGTGACTACAGTGAGTTTTCAATTATCATATGTGCATCGAAATTGCCAACCAACGAACTAAAACACTACTGAAGTTTTAAAGTTTTATATTTAACTGTTCAGGAGTTATTGGTAACAGACTCAAAACTCTCAATCAAGTTTTTAAGCAAAGTTGTGAGAAAAAAAAATTTCTTTTTTCTTTTTTCTTATTCTATAAGAAACCGTTTTTCTGATACTATTTTTTGGAAATTGATTAAAATAATACTTCATAAGACATCTTAGGAACACATATAATATAGGATTTGATATGACTTCATCTCCTTATTCCAACAGTGAAAATCGCAACACTCTATTCTAGGGATGCAACAAATCTTGAGATAAATTTGGATTTGGCTTTAGGTTTGGAATTGGTATCCTATGTTTGGGTTTGTATTTGTATTTGTATACTGTGTTTGGATTCGGATTCGGATTTGTCTTGGGATTTCTACAAATCTAATAAATAGTTTTGAATTTATTGAGATATATATTCAGCATACTTCAAGTAGCCCATTCACTGCAATGAAATCATATTAAATGGCTCTTATCGATTGATAAAAGTTTGGCAATCTGAAAAGTTCTTGCAATAAAAGTATACTATAGTCCATAGAAAAAGTTTGTGCGTGTGAGTATTTTTTAAATAACTCGAGAGCAAAGTGAGATAGAAATCTGCAGTTTTCGCCACTATGTAGAGCTTGGAGTACTCTATCGATCCATTAATAGAAAATGAAAAACATAAACTTTTCATGTAATGTTCATTATCGATCTTTGAAAGATGTGAACATGGTTACCTTAAGTTTTAGAGTGACTCATCACTTTTAAATATGTAAAAGATAGTTTAGAGAATCCTCTACTACATGGCGAAAGACCGACCTCTGTAGTTATTATGGTTCAAAAATGTTACACAATTCTCTAGGGTCTATAAAAGTGCTTTTTCTCCATAAGATGGATTACAAATATGTATACTAAAGTTCGTTGTTGATCATTTTTTTGAACTGTAGGAATGACTAGCTTTGTTCTCGAACAAATTTTTTAATTGAAGATGAAGAGCTAGATTATGCAGAAAGAGTATGAACTCAAAATATGTGATTAAAATGAAATAAAAAGTGTAATTTTATGACCAGCATATTACAAAGTATCACTTATTGACATAGACAAATATTTAGTTCTTATATACTGTGTTCATCTAGTTTACGTCGTCTTTGCTACATTGCTGAGTATTCTCAAGATCCTTTCAATATATTGAAATCGTCTTTTTAAAATACGACAATTAATCACTACATGCACTAGTACGTTAACCATTGCAATTATTACTAGTGTTGTTTCCAAGGCTCTCGATAGTTTTGAAAAGTGGAAGGGGTTGATGATTTGGCAAATATTATTGAATTTTGTCGCAGACACTTGTTGAGAAGTCTATCACAGATTGTCTGGCAAAGTTCAGCCAAAATCACGAATAAACTGAGAAATTTCGCCGAAAACGGCACATTTTCTCATAGATTTTGTGAAAACTGCTGATTTTCTGCTAGGTTCAAGTGAAAAACAAGCTCTCTGTCAGATTTTTCGGGCAGCGAGGAGAAAAAATTCCCAGACAAGCCCGAAAAGTGGGGGAGGGCTAACACACCCCATCTCCTCCCATATCGTGGGCACTAGTTGTTTCTTCAAAAATGAGTCTTGAACGACTAAACTGTCGAAAAGAAAGTAAACCAATAACTCTTAGAACCATAACACAACATAACAAAGACGATGTCAAATAGATGAACACAGTATATAAGAATTAAATATTTGTTTATATCAATAAGTGATACTTTGTAATGTGTAAATTTCTGTTCTTGATAGCGTACAATTTTAGCAGTCTATATGTATACTTAAAAAGAGATAAAACGATGGTGTCTCGTATATCTAAAGAGCTTTGAATGGAATAGAATTTAATATTTCTCTGCCTAGCAACTTGATCAGAGTCGTTTAACAGATGAATATACATTAGAAACCTATGGCACTACAGAACTGCTAAGACATATACGTAGTGAATACAATGAAAGAACACCCCACTCAAACAGTTTTCTAATAGCGTACGCGAACATACAATCTAGTTTGATACTTGAAGTTAGAAAATAATGATAAAAATTTTACATGGACTAAGAAGATTACGCTACTGAAAAATTATGTTCCCAAATCCAAACAGTCTGAGTCATTGGAAACTAAAGGAAAATCGAATTCAAACCAAATCCAAACATTATGTATCAAACCCAAATCCCAATCCAAGCATTAGATAACAAATCCAAACCAAACCCAAATATCAGATATCAAATCCAAATCCAAATCTACATTCGAATCCAACCCCTCCTAATATCAAACCCCAAACGTTCGGGTTTGTTACATCCCTAACTCTATTCTGTGTCCATTAAAAGTTATTCAAAAAATATCCCTCTGCCTTTTTTTTTTGGAAAGAGCATCTACACATAACCATACATTCAAACTCAAAGCGATGATGATTGACTTTCAAATAGAAAAAAAGCACTTACAAAATTATATTCAAGTATTAAATTTTTCATACATGCGTAATGTTATTAAAAAAAAGACATCTATATTAGTGATGTGAACAGACAGAGGATAGAAGGTTGATTTGCACTTAAGAAGAAATTTGCGTTTGCTCTGTAGACACGATCAGGGAGCTGAGTTCAACCTATACATTTCGTTTGGTTATGTCACTACTCTATATTATAAAGTTATGCATCTACTACTAGACAAACTTATCAATATAAAATGTCCAAATTTAATTTAGTTTTTTTTTACTATGATTAAAAAAAATTCGTATTCTTAAATATCAACGCAGAGAAAACTTAAACATATGTGTTTAATGACAACTGGAATTCATATAAATATAGTACTGATGTTTTTTCTTTCATTAATAAAGATAATTATTTTGTTTCGAGTTAATGTTAATAAAAAATGATGGATCGAATTTCATAACATAGTTATTTCTAACTAATTGTATAAGAAATCTATTAATAATAAATCAATATCAATCAAAGCTACATTTGACAAGTTGCGAAGGAACTACTTATATAATAGAACTAATAAAAAAAATAAAAGACAACTATCACAGGCTTTCTATGCGACTCCTAAGAACAAAAGACATTGCAAATATATTGGGAATAGTAAAAGAAATGAATACTGCCGTTAAGTATCTAACAAAAATGAGATAAGATAATGTCTTAAAGACCATAAACGATACTGTATGCAATACTATATTTACATAATCATTTTGAACGATTATCTGTATGTAAGAATAATAACTTTGGTGATAAAATATGCAAGGTTTTTTCTTTTGTCTACGAATACAATAGATCGAATTGCTTGATGATTATCAAATAAATGCATATGTAAGGATTTGAAGTTAATATTTGATGACAGAAAATGACGTGAGTTGTATTCATGAGGACACAAATCAAGATATTTCTCTTCATTCTCCTTGCCGTACACGTTATATCGTTTTATTTTCACTTTTTATTCATTCTGTCAAGGCGTTTGCTTATGTAAGTTTTCTTCTTCACGTGCTTATTTATACACAAAAGTATCAAATAGACGATGAAATTATATATATATATCATAATTTTTGTTCATATTGATTTGGTTTTTGGAATTCGTTGTTATTCATGTGTTGGTGAAGTACATAACCAGCGAAAACCTCTTGACCCATGTTTAAATCCAGCGGAAAATGTAGGTGATGGTAATGTCAATGAAATTGAATGTGTAAATACAAAACTTTGTTGGAAAGGAATAGCAGCTGGAAAAATAAGACGAGGTTGTGGAGAGAAACGATGTGCCTTTATACCTGATATAAGTATGGGTTCATTTATTAGTCAAACATGTTGTTCAACTGATTTATGCAATCGAACATCTTCAATAATATTATCTAAATCAATAGTTTATTCTATGATTTTGTTAATAGTTTTTTATCAATTATTTTATTAAATAAATTTGAACGATTTCTATTTTTAAAAAAATTTTATTAATTGTTTTTGCTAACAATTTCCATTACTGTTCTTTTCTTTTTTCTTTTTTTTTCACTTTATGTACAATCTATACACCCGATGGGCACTTGAGCGACTTTTTAAAAATCACTTTTCTTTTTATTGGCCATCTCTCCTCCCATCTACTACCCATTTTCTCTTTTTCCGCTCATGTTTGTCAAAAAAGTTTCTCTTTCTCTCTCTCTCTCTTTTTGTTACTCAACATGCAGACATAAACGAGACGTTTATCACTACCAACATCGAGAGAAAGACAGTGGCATTGTAAATAAAGTTTGATTTACGGCAACATCAACAATTTCGTAAAGAAAAAGAAAAATACTTCAACAGGTTGGTGATTCTATAGCTGATTATTTGCAACAAATGTATCATTGTTTTGATTAAGATAATCATAGACTTTTGTTTTTTTTGCTTAATGAAATACATCAAATTTTACTAAATACGTATTTACTTTTCGAAACTCTATACATTGCTTTACATATGCAAAAAAAAACGAGATTGAAATAGAAATATTTTTATTGTAGTTTTTATGAAAGAGGACAAGAAATTTGTGATGTTTTGTTGAATATGAGTCAGATAAAAACATATTAAATGATTTCTTTTTTAATGGTAAGAAGATGTGGCAAGATTTTTTGTTGTTATGGTATTTTCTAATTGTAGGATTTATTCTTTGAAATGAAGATAGGTCATTCATAATGATTTGAAGTCTCTAAAGAAAAAAAAAGAGTCAAATACTGTAATGTAAGTTTGTTCGGAATCTTTGTTAAATTTTTTTTTAAAGAACTATATTGTTCGGCGTGAAGTTTCTTAAGTAATAATACCCAAAGACAAAAAAAGAGTAAAAGGAATCAGGAAAGAAACATCGATATAGGAACTGAAAAGAGAAAGACACAGATGTTGAAGTTGAATGTCTAGTAAGATAATTGATTATTGAGTCTATTGAATTCTTTCGATGTTATTTTTAAAACTTTTAGTAATATTGTTTGCTCACTTTATGCCCTAAACTCATATTAGATAATTTGTCTAAGTATATTTCATTTTAAAGCGTCCTTGTATAAAGTAAGAATTTCTCAATGACATTGTAGATGATTATTAAATTCGACTTAATATTTATATTTTGTTGATATAATTATAAATTTAATATGTTTGATGAATATCTAGACTAAATTTGATTATCATAATGAATAAAAACATTTTCTTGGATTTACAACCATTCATTGATTATTCTCAACATTTCTTTTGAAGAAGTATATCTTTCCTATGGCTTCAAATAAATATAATTCTTCTTTCTTTTTTTTTTGGAAAACTTTCAACTAAAGATAACATTGTCTTATAGTAAAATCTAAAACAATTCAGTTTCTTGATCTTGAACGATATACATTAATCCAAATACATCGTGCTATCTTCATTAATTATATTATTTTAAATCATTAATTAATTTTATTTAGATTCTATAGATTCAACAGCTATGACACTCGATTCTTTAAGTGAATCAAGTCTTTTACGATTAGAGCAATATTTAAATTCAAACCCATATCGAGAATATTCGATGAGTAAACCATATTTTCCAAAAACATCTCAACCAGCAGTACATTCAAATCGTTTAATACCTGAGCAACAATCATCGATTCTTGCTTTTCATGAATTAATGGATAATCAAAAAGATGCTTTAACACTTGATCGTCTTGCTTATAAACTTCGTATGAAATCTGATTTGAATATTGATACATTACGAGAAACGCATGTACGTCGTCAACGTCATCGTCATTATCATCAACAACAACAAAATTATCATTCTCAACACATACAACATAATCATCATACAAATCCAAATTTAAATGATACATTAAGTTCATTGCCTTCATCAACATCAGCAAAAACATCTACACGACAACCAACATCAATAACCATGTCAACAAATACAATGAAAACAATGGTTAGTGATGATTTAAGTGGTATTGAAGGTAATTCTATACGTGTGGGAACACTTGATGATCTTATAAAACAATTTCGTCGTGCAGAATTTCGTCTTGTTCGTCGGCCAGCTGATTATTTAGATAGTGCATCAACATGTATATCAAGTAATGTTTCAACAAATGATCGATCAATAATAACAAAATCACATCATCAACATCATGAACGACCAATAAAACAACCACAAGCTTTAACTGAATATCGTTTTAATGCTCCAACATTTCCAACGACACCATCACGAACATATCGAGAACCAACAGTACATCAAGGACTTATTTATCAATATAGAACACGAGAACGAATTAATAATACTGATTTACCTTTATTAAATCAACGTTCAATTCATTCATCTGAACATAATCGACAACGATTAAATTCACTTGTTATTCAAGAACGACAACCAACAGCAATGAGTTCACATGATAGACGAATTCAAGAATTGCGTGAAAAAACTTTAATGCGTACAGAAAAACAAGTATGTATTTGTAATAAATTAACTATTGTCGATCCATTTAATTCTTCCATTGAACAAATTGAATCACCTTTACCTCAACTTCAACAATTACAACAACAACCTGCAACTAATTATATTTTTCCACCTGTACGTCCATTTGGTTATTTTACGAAAAAAACAGCAACAACAACAGATGATCTACAACAATTATCATGGAGTCCACCACCACCACCACGTATTAAGAAAAAACGCGATACAAAAAAGAAACATCAGAATATTTTGAAAAAATCCTTAGATTCATTAGATAAAATAGGAAATGATGATAATGATCATTCACAATTATTAAATGATACAGTTAAATCAATGGTTAGTTTAACTGATATGGATGATGAAATAAATGATATATTAAGTACAAAAATTAATATTGACTTTAAAATAGCTGGTGCTGATGTAGAAAATACAGAGCAACAAAATGAATCATAGCATTTTCTTTTAGAGTTACAGCATATTTTGACTGTATATATATATTCCATGAATAAAAGGTTTTTTTTTAATTTTAAATCAAGATTTAGCATAATGACTATTAAATGTGTGATAATTTGATTAAAATATGGAAATACAAGATGTTTATAAAGTCATTAATTAACTAATTTTTTTTATACGATACATCATATTGCAAAATTTTTTATTGATCAAATAGATTTTATCAATATTATCAAAACTTATGAATTTTCATTGAAATAAAACTAATTGCTGATACGATATTATTCTATTTTCCTTTTTTTGATTCATGGATCAATCAGAATTTCAATGTTTCTTTTAATAAAATCATGCCTTAAACTTCGTTTTTATGTTTAAAAAATTTCCAATTAATTATTTTTCAAGTAGTAATACTTTATTTAATATATTGAATAGCCTCAAATGATATTTATAAAGTCATTTAATAATCTTGTTTAGCATATTAGAAATAATTGTTTGATAAAATTGAATTTGTTTTAACAATTCAAGATCACATAGAATTGATAGTTTTGAGTTATGAAGTCTCAATTTTCTTGATTATGAATTTGTTCGGATTTCAATTAGAATCTATCATACTTAATCGAAAACTAAGTTCAATATTTAAGAAAAAATTCTTCATATGCTTGAATAGATTTCATAAATATGTCTTTGTACATATATTCGATAGTCATACAAAGAAAAGTAGTGCTTTGTCTTTTTCTTTTTCTTTTCTAATTAATATTTGTTTCATATAGTATATCTTTTATTTTACAGATAATTCTTCAAAATTTATTATATATTTTTTTTTACGATTGAACTAAAGAACAACGGAGATAATTATATATATATATATTTAATAACAACGGTCAATTAATGATATAAACGAAGACAAAGAAGTAAAAGATAAATGAATTCCCAATCCATTAAAACTGAAAGACGAAACCAAAATAAGATAAAATTTTTAGATTATGAATATGAGATAATTATCTTTCTATTGATGTCAATCGAGATACTTCATGGTCAGATCTAAATAATTTACAAACATAGAGAAATAAAATATTTAATTTGATTTGATTTTTTTACCCATAAACAACATCTTCGTCGGAATCATTAATCATTGAAAATGTTGGATTATCACGAAATAATGAATCAACAGCAGCATTTTTTGCCGGTGAGTAAACATATGCCATTGTATAAAGATATAAATTTATAAGACCGTAGAATGATAGAAATTCTACAGAGTTTTTATAACGTGATGCTAATTCTGGTACAAAATTTTCTTCAATAATGCCTGAACCAAACCGTAATGTTGTAATAACAATTGAAATTGATACAACACAAAGCATTAAAAGAGTTGTAAATTTCAAACGAATATCTAAATAAAAATTATTTAAAAAAAATGCAAGGCATATGAAATTTGATTCGGGCCAAACTTTATTATCTCATGAATCCTCATAAAAAGCCTTATTTCAATAAATAACTCGTACACTCTATAATGCTCAGTAAGATGACGTAGTGCATCAAGTACAAGTACATACTCATATTAGTTTATCCTTAACATAATGAATATTCAAGCATTTTGTTCAGTAATCTAATTACTAATTAAATAACTAATGTTTCCAACTACGAAATTCAAATAGTACTTTTCGTCTACTGACAGATATTGCTATCTATTCAAATACGATTTGTTAAACAGAACCCTATAACTATATACTGTGATTCAAATTCATACTGCCAAGAACTAGTTTTTAATGAATATCACAAACTCTGCGGGATTCAAACGTGAAATATAACGAAATTCCTAGTATTTTGATAAAAAGAATTGATCAATATATGTGTTTCGATTTAAAAATTCCCATCTACTATTGATGTATGTTGATGATGAAAGATATCAATTGCAATATATAGCAGTGAGTATAAAAGAAAAAGTAAAGGACAACAATCGTACGAATCTCGTATTCATGTCTATCACAGCCTATGATGAGTAGAGCTTGTCGTGTTGTACTTTGATACTGTCAATAAAATTTTCCGATCAAAATCTTCAAGTTACCTAGAAGATACAATATACTTTTTTTCAGCTTTTTATATACAGTGACTAGCGCACTCGACACATTTCTCAAATGATTAGAATCTATCAGATGTAGAAATTTCACACTCGAAGCCAACTCGACAGGCTCTATTGATGAATAGTTGCTAAGACGTCTGTCAAGACTGTGAGACGAAGAACAAATTTCTACGTCTATACTTCAAGACTTCCTCTAAATCGTATTTCACAAAATGCCTATTGCTAAGTACTATTCCGTCCTGATGAACACTATGCAATGTACCAACTATTCATAGTTATAAGGTTTTTTATAGCGATTAATAAGGTAAACTACGATGCAGTTCAGTGACTTTTCAACCTTTCGAAAAAATAATTCAATAACAATACATACCAAAATATGGCATATTACGAAGTTCACCAAATGCTCGAATAATAAGAAATAATAAATATAGAATATAGACTATTCCAACTATATAGAAGATAATACGAAATGTCTAAATAGATTTAATTTTAAAAACATCATTCTCGTTTTTTTTTGTTATAATCGATTTAACTTACAGTAAATTGTCTTATATCAATGGTCATGTTATACATTGGATCACGAAATTCTTGTCCAATACGTACTGATGAAAGTACAACAGAAAATATCCAAAGAAAACTAACAAGTATTATTTTTGGTATATAAAATGGAATAAATCGACGAACATTCTGAAATACAGAAAATAAACTAAATATAAAATAAACAATTTCACGATCGAAAATAATAACAAACTTGACGAATTCCATGATAAACACTTAACCAAAAAAGTAATAATGTACAAAGAAAAGTTGCTTGTAAAACTCCATCAAGAATTGATGGAAAAGAACTATTTATTAAGAATGTTAATGGATAAAATGGATCTATAATAGAGAATATTTATTGTATCAATAAAAACAAAAAAAGAAACATTTGAACTTTACCGTTGTAAAAAACAAGAAATATGAGCAGAAATATCATCCATCGTTGTTCTAATGACCAATCCAAAATTGAAAATCGACGCATCGATTTTGTAAAAAGACACTTTAGAAAACAAAATAAATCATTCTTTTGTATAACTCAATAAACTTTAACTATGGTTTTCATTGTTGATTGAGTGTATTAGACAAACTATATGATAGATAAATCTCGATGAATATAGAAAAAGTTGTTCTTGACTTCAAATTTTCAAATACTTTCTTCTAGCTAATATCTAAGTCGCAAAAGCTAAAAATCACTTCACTTTCGTAACCACAATAAGTTCAATAGAGTTGAAATTTCTTGCACACATACTAGAAACTGTTTGAAGTGTCTACTTTTTTTATTTGCTTCATTTTTATCTCCTTCCATTTGAATAAAAAGATCAAAATATTGGATGTATCTTCAAAAATACATGTTTATTTATAAGTCTGCCGAAATCAATGGTGCAATATATGTTTAAAGAAAAACGAAATGTTAAGCACTCGAAACAGTGTCCAATATTGGTGAAATAACGTTTCAGCTTAATTGAATGTACTATGTTAGAAAGACGAGAATGATTCTCGAATTCTTTTTGTTGAAAAATTCATTTAGAGAACAATGAAAAACAAAATTTTCTGTATGTATCAAGACTTTTTATTCCAATTACAGTGATCGAAAACTGACCGTGTTTAGCGATGTTAGGAGGTCTATGACTCATACTTATCGTACTCTTAGAAATTATCATTAAACGAATTTTACATCGAGAATTGCATTTAATAAAAGTACCAACTAACAACAAAGAGCTTTGATTTGTATCAAATTTCATTGAAAACATTACGAAGTTTTATTAGCGATGAAAAACCAAAAAAACCAAAAATATTTGATTTTAACATTCGGAAAGGGATGGAATATTTCAGTTTTCACTTTGAAAATATTTATATCACATACCGTAGTTGCAATAGCACATATTAAGAAGAAAAAACGAAAGGCAAGTTCAAATTGAGCAAATTTTGGATTGAATGTATTTAACTAAAGAAATAACAAAAAAAAACATCTTACATATATATAAATTAAAAAAAAAAAGAAATAAAATTTTCTCACAACAAATTGAACATTTTTTATTTTCTTAGGTTGTTGTTCGTCATCGATTCCATTTAGTTTTATTTCAAATTGATATGTATTTTCATGTAAAAAATTCAAATGGAATAAGATAAGTTGATTACAAGCCTAGAGATATAAAATATGATTATTAATAGACATTAAATATTAGATGAAAACCTAGCATCCTATACTTAATTATTTCTACCTTATCCTTAGTTCTACTATGATCATTACTAATGTTTAAGATATTTAGATACATTAATGTACTTTTTTTTCTTTCAACAAATAACAAATAAATCTATTCAACGTTAATTACTGTCAAAAGTCGTACTGACATGACAGTTTTCACTACATTCTTTTACCATCAACAACAAACAATCAAATATCCATCAAATTCTAACAACCATCAGATTGATAATAATTAAACATCATGACATCATATGATGTGCTTAAAATTAGCGCAAATCGAAAAAAAAAAGACTTAAGACTGGAAAAAGGAAAAAGTGTAGGTAGTGGGAGGATAAGAGGGAAGAAATAAAAAAAGAATTGAGATATGAATTTATTTTACTAATGAGAAGAAAAAAAACGACGAAAAAACTCGATAAAATAAACCTAAATGAAAAATGCAACAGACAAATACAAATAACAATATGTATCTATCTGAATGTTTCTATAAATAGAAACAGAGTAATAGCACGAAACCATGCAAAATTGGAAAACAAACAACAAGAAAAATCAGTAAGCAACTAAAAACTGTTGAAAGGATAAAATGAAGGAAAAAGAAAAAAACAATAAACTGGTGCAACATACGAGTAAAATAAAATATAAATGAAAGCCCTGAGGTTTAAGATGGAAAGAAAGGAA